ACACCATTTAGGGGGGGGGGGGGTGAAACCAAGTCAAAAAATAGCAAAATATATAGAGAAAAATGATAATTCCACTTAATTAAGTGATTAATTCGAGTGTCAAATAGTCTTTTAAGAGGTGCAAATCGAAAGTTTGAGGGGGGTGGGGTGGAAATGGAAAGTTTGAGGGAGGGGGGGGGGGGGTGCAAATCAAAAGTTTGAGGGGGGGGGGGGGGTGGTGTAAATCGAAAATTGAAAGTTTGTCCCCGGGAAGAGTCGCTACGCCTCTGGGGGGGTGACACCATTAAGTGCCGCACTGGGTAGCACCCGACCTCGCTACGCCACTGGGTTAAAGAGATGCTATATCACCAGATACACCGGGTAAAGTATTATGTGTTACTTTTGTTGTGAGCTTATGTAAGAGAAGTAGTTTATTTCAAGGCTAGATCTGATGCATAATATAAGTTGAGTAATGTGTTTGATGATACGACTCTATGTTAAAAGATTTTTAAAAACAGTAAATTCCTTTTCGAACATGACGGTCGATGTTACAATTCACGCAGAGTTCACCTGTTTCTGCGACTTTACCTGTACTTTCCCTAACATCAGTTCGGTACAATCAGATCTGTACAGGGCCGGCGCTACCCATAAGGCGAACTAGGCGGTCGCCTAGGGCGCCATCCCTACGGGGGCGCAAAAGGTTTAATCGCAATTATCAATGAACAACTTTTATAAAGGAGTAGCGATCTATTTCGGCACCCAGGACGAACTATCAATTTTGCACCCCCCACCCCAAAATTAGGTCTATATAGGCCTATATGTATTCGCGATGGTGATAATGCAACCCCACCTCCCTAATTTGGAAAGGTCGGGGCGCTTTTTACCAGTCACTTTGCCTTTTTAATTTGGTGTCACATAATTGGTGTAGAAAACGATTAAAAACAAGTTCGTAATTTAAATTTCGAACATTTAAATAGGGCTTGTAAGTCTCGTTTTCTCTGACTTTGAGTTAGAAATCTGTCCTGGTGTATAGAGTTTTGTCATGACGGGGTGTTCAAAGTATTGTACTTGTTTGGTAAGGTTTGATGAATCGTTTAGATTTGGGAGTAACGGCGGAAGGCTGATAGTGATATGGTTTCGTAGGTATAAAGTATCTAAGAGTTAAAGTGTCATATTTTTTATTCGGCTGTTTTGTAGTTGAAGGTCTAGTGGAATCTGATTGGTAGTAGAGAGATGAGAATGCAGGTGATGAAGTATCGTTGTTCTGAAGTTCGGGAGTATTGATTCTTGTGGTAGTAAGGTATCGAATAATAATTACTGTTAACGTGTAGTAGTAGGTCCAGTGAAATCGTTGTTGATTGGGAGTACCGTTTGTAGAGCTTGGTGAAGTTAAACGAGTTGGTGTCGTAGTTCTGGAACATCGAGTCTAGTTATGTTTAGGTATCAAAGTTTGATATGTGTTGTGAATGTAGTAGAGTATATCGAGTAGTCGAGTTTATCGTAAGTTAAATTATTTGAATTCAGGACGTAACACATTACAAAGTAAGGTAGGCGTTCTCTAGTTGAAAAATCTTGTTTTTAGGAATCTATATTACCATTCTTAAAGTATTAATATTTATTAAATAGGATAGAATTTATAACAAACTGTAAACTTTGTTTTTTCAAAATATAATTTTTTTTATAACTGATCAATAATTCTAGCAATGCCTAATACAGTTACCCGTGTTCGATTTTTTGAAAGACATCCCTTTATTTTGGGGATTTAAAATTTTATAACCAGACTCCTAGCATTAAAATTAATGCATGTCATAAAAATTGAATAGAAGTATGTTATAATAAAGCTACCGTTTTTAAACTTTCAAACAAAACATACAGATAAGTACTCAATAGGTAAAATATATTGTTTTCACAAAGATACATAGCTAAAATAGAAATTTTATTATAAATATCACATAATGAAATTTAGAGCGTCTTATTGTGTTTTTTAAACATGTCTTAAGTTATACTTTGTTAATTTAGCAATTCTAGTGGAAGTTATTTCCCTTGAATAAAAATTTTTTCTTTGGATTTTCAATCGGAGATTATTCTTTGCTTAACTTTACATTCATTTCAAATTCCCGCACCTTAGGTTGACCACTTTCATATAAAGACAACACTAACTTATTATTTGTTACTGTAAAAATTATATAGAGCTGAAGTTCTAAGCATAATAGTTTGGTATGTCTTTTTAGCATTATCAAGTTAAAAAACAAATACATTAGTTGCCGTTGTAGATTGCAATACTTGTTTGTAGACATAGTCTTAGTCGTAAATTAAACTTATAACGTGTATGCAATTGATAAATGAATATGTCACATTAAATGAATTGCTTTCTTATACATATGTTTTAGCAATTAGTTTTTGTGAAAGTGGGCGTTTAATAAGTTTTGTCGAGGGCGCTAAATAACCTGGCGCCGGGACTGGATCTGTGTAGTTTCAGCGGGTTCAAACTCAAGACTTTCGGGTAGGCAGTCTAGCGCTCTACTTCTAGACCTCGCCTTCCCAGATTGAAGTTTATGCGAGCACGTATTTTTGTATTTTTAAAACAGGTAGCTGTAGGGTGAGGGTGGGGATGAAGTATTTTACATTTGCATGTTCGAGTATTCTAGGGTCTCTATATAAATATAAATGTATTAATTTAGAAACGATATAGCAGGATTGAAAACCTTCGTATTGATGAAGACTGATGAGCCGCCAATTGTTGTTGTTGTTGTTTTGGATGAACCTGCAAGCTAAGCGGTTGTCTATTACAGAGGTTAAAGTCACTTTTACTTGTATTCCTATAACCAACTTTTTTTTCTGCGCACTTAATTTCTTCTTTGCGCATTGTTTTTAACCCTTAAATTAATTAAATTTACATTGTTTACTTTTTAAATTTCAAATATACCGCCTCCTCCCTCTCACCCCCTCATAATAAAACTTTTTTGACAATTTCTTTGGTAAAATAAATGAAAATTGTCACTGCCCTGATGATGAAAGTTTTTCCACAGACGCATCTAACTAGCTTAGCACAGACATGGTGAACATGCTTTTAGCAAAATCAATACCATAGTTTTTTTCTTCTTGAGATTTTGATATTTATGATCTTGTGGACGGGGTTATTTTTGTCTTTGTCAGTTTGAGAATTTTGTAAAAGAAATGTATTGATTTAAGTTGGTGTTGTGTGTTGAAATGGTGGTTCGTCCGTTAACTACATAATGTTATAACTATAAGGTCTATTCGGTTTTATGGTGTTCAATAACATTTTACAGATAAATTATTTAGTAACAAATACCGAAGGCCTTTATTTTAGAACTAAGCATTGAATTTAGAAACAATGTATAATGACGAGTCACAAATAATTTATTTTGGAACCAATATGTATCAACATTTAATTTGGCTTTGTAGGGTTAAATAGCATTTCATTAATGTGAGCGGCTGGAGTGTATTTTTATTATTTGTAACTTAGAAGGCGAATGTATCGTTTGGTTTCATGTCGTAAATTGTTCGTAGTTTTTTAGTTGTGTAGTCCCGTATTATGGCGCCGCTGTCTCACTGTTTATGTCCCTGGTAATTGCTAGTTTGTATATATTTCGTTTATATTGTTGTCATTGTTTATATTAAGTGTCTTTTTATAATATTCTGTTGCATGTTTCGTCGTGTTTGGTTTGTTATCCGTGAATTAGGGACTATTTGTTTACGTGTAGAGTGTGAGGTGTGTGGAAGTCGGTTTCCGGCTTGTTCAACTCTGTCTTTTGTGTGGAAAGAGCGGTGAAGGGAGCAGGCAGTCTCTCTGGTCATCCAGTGAAAAGAATAGCAAATTCGCACCATCCAGCCTTATTTATTTTGTGTTTGTGTTCGTCATAGTCCTGGTAAGTTAGATATAAGTTTATTTCTTTGCTATGTTTATTTTTTGCTATGCTCTTTATTTTGATAACTGGCCATAAGATTTTTGTGATTGTTTTCTGACCGCCATTGTGGTCAGGCCATGTGGACTCAGATTCTGAGTTTTTATGGTCATTTTATTACTTTGTTGTATCTCTTGGGCTTGTGTGAAGCCAAGGATACTGCTTATTTATACTTGGCCCACAGTTATGGTTTACTCCTGGCTGTTGGGTTAAGTGGTATACGTATTCTATTGATTGTATCCCTTGGGCTGGTGTTAAGCCAGGGATAGAGGTAATTTTAGACTTGACCCGCAGCTATGGTTTACTCCTGGCTGTCGGGTTAAGTAATACGCACATTTTATTGATTGTGTCCCTTGGGCTGGTGTTAAGCCAGGGATAAAGGTATTTTTAGACTTGACCCGCAGCTATGGTTTACTCCTGGCTGTTGGGTTAAGTAGTAGAGTTGTTACCTGACCCACAGTCACGGTTCGTTCCGGACTGTCGGGTTTGGTTATAATATTATTATCTTTATAGTGACCTTTCGCTTCCTGTGGTGATCATGTTGATCCCCAGGAGAGTGTTCGGTTCGTTCTAGTCACTGTGAAGGTACACTTGTTTTTAATAGATTTTATTTTACTTAGCCTTTTGTTAGGCTGGTAACTGTGTTGAGCTAGTAGTTTGAGCTCAGTGTCCTGGCAGTGTTCCAGTTAATTGTTAAAGTATGTTCTGTGTGAACTACCTGCAGGTGGTGGAGATGTAATCCAGCCAGCCTGTGGTTAATGCTTTGTATATAACTTTTTTTGTAAAGTAATTAATTTATTTGTTTTCCTTTTTCTAGGACGTAGTCCGAAATTGGGTGTTGTGTTTGATGTAAAAAGTTTGTTTCGTTTGGTTCTGTTTTGTGTCAGTTTATATCTATTCTTTTTTTATAACTTTTGGTTCCATGCAATAAATTTTATTAACTGTAAAAGTTTTTGTTTTATTTTAGTAGCTTATTATTTAGACTAAGGTTAGGGTTCAACCACTGTGGGTTCTACCACGGTTGCACTGACCGGACAGATTAGTTAGTTAAGCCTAGAAGGGTAGATATTAGGTATCCCCCCTAGCAGGGCTTACAAATTGGTAGCACGAGTGGGGTTTTGGGGTCGTGGAACACAAGTTCTTGGAGCTGACGTCGGACCGAGGACTGGCTCAGGTTTTCAAGGAACTGGTCCCGAAGAAATTCCGTGTCGGTCTGTGGGACCTGCAGGGTGCCCTGCCTTGCAACAAGGGTCTTGAATGCCCGGTGTAGGCGGTGTGAGTAGGCCCTCACTGACTCATGTGGGCCCTGTTGCACCGTTTGGAATTGAGCCATGAGCTGCGAGACGCTCCTCTTCTCGCCATACACCTCCCGGAGGAGCCTGATGGTGGCTTCCGGGTCGCGGTTCAGGTCGTCACCCCTGCAACTCAGCTCCTCCCGCACTGCCTCGCCCAGGTACTGCCAGAGGAGGTCCTTCTGCTCATCGGCCGTGAGATCCTTCCTGACCTTCCAGGCAGCCCGGACTTCTTCAATGAAGCGATCCACCTCAGAGGCATGGCTGTCTCCATGAAACCTCCTAATGTGGACCTCCCTGGGTGGGACGATGATTATGTTGGTCGATGCAGCCTCCGCCATCTCGTCCTAATTGGGTGTTGAGACTACAAACAATTCCTACACTAAACAAAAACTAAACACATATGGTTCCAAAAAGGGCCTATCAAAACAAAAAATTTAACTAAGCTACACCTAGCCCTAGCAAAAAAACAAAAATTTAACTAGACTAAAGCACTGACCCCACTCGTGCTACCAATTTTATTATTTGTAACTTAGAAGGCGAATGTATCGTTTGGTTTCATGTCGTAAATTGTTCGTAGTTTTTTAGTTGTGTAGTCCCGTATTATGGCGCCGCTGTCTCACTGTTTATGTCCCTGGTAATTGCTAGTTTGTATATATTTCGTTTATATTGTTGTCATTGTTTATATTAAGTGTCTTTTTATAATATTCTGTTGCATGTTTCGTCGTGTTTGGTTTGTTATCCGTGAATTAGGGACTATTTGTTTACGTGTAGAGTGTGAGGTGTGTGGAAGTCGGTTTCCGGCTTGTTCAACTCTGTCTTTTGTGTGGAAAGAGCGGTGAAGGGAGCAGGCAGTCTCTCTGGTCATCCAGTGAAAAGAATAGCAAATTCGCACCATCCAGCCTTATTTATTTTGTGTTTGTGTTCGTCATAGTCCTGGTAAGTTAGATATAAGTTTATTTCTTTGCTATGTTTATTTTTTGCTATGCTCTTTATTTTGATAACTGGCCATAAGATTTTTGTGATTGTTTTCTGACCGCCATTGTGGTCAGGCCATGTGGACTCAGATTCTGAGTTTTTATGGTCATTTTATTACTTTGTTGTATCTCTTGGGCTTGTGTGAAGCCAAGGATACTGCTTATTTATACTTGGCCCACAGTTATGGTTTACTCCTGGCTGTTGGGTTAAGTGGTATACGTATTCTATTGATTGTATCCCTTGGGCTGGTGTTAAGCCAGGGATAGAGGTAATTTTAGACTTGACCCGCAGCTATGGTTTACTCCTGGCTGTCGGGTTAAGTAATACGCACATTTTATTGATTGTGTCCCTTGGGCTGGTGTTAAGCCAGGGATAAAGGTATTTTTAGACTTGACCCGCAGCTATGGTTTACTCCTGGCTGTTGGGTTAAGTAGTAGAGTTGTTACCTGACCCACAGTCACGGTTCGTTCCGGACTGTCGGGTTTGGTTATAATATTATTATCTTTATAGTGACCTTTCGCTTCCTGTGGTGATCATGTTGATCCCCAGGAGAGTGTTCGGTTCGTTCTAGTCACTGTGAAGGTACACTTGTTTTTAATAGATTTTATTTTACTTAGCCTTTTGTTAGGCTGGTAACTGTGTTGAGCTAGTAGTTTGAGCTCAGTGTCCTGGCAGTGTTCCAGTTAATTGTTAAAGTATGTTCTGTGTGAACTACCTGCAGGTGGTGGAGATGTAATCCAGCCAGCCTGTGGTTAATGCTTTGTATATAACTTTTTTTGTAAAGTAATTAATTTATTTGTTTTCCTTTTTCTAGGACGTAGTCCGAAATTGGGTGTTGTGTTTGATGTAAAAAGTTTGTTTCGTTTGGTTCTGTTTTGTGTCAGTTTATATCTATTCTTTTTTTATAACTTTTGGTTCCATGCAATAAATTTTATTAACTGTAAAAGTTTTTGTTTTATTTTAGTAGCTTATTATTTAGACTAAGGTTAGGGTTCAACCACTGTGGGTTCTACCACGGTTGCACTGACCGGACAGATTAGTTAGTTAAGCCTAGAAGGGTAGATATTAGGTATCCCCCCTAGCAGGGCTTACATTAATCATTTATTATACAACTAATATGAAACACCGAATTCTTTTATTAATACGTAGCAAAACAATATTCACGATGCAGAGTGCAAGAAATACAGAAGCACTAGTACATAGAGACAACCTTCATTTAATATTATACACGTGATATTAACTATCTATAACTATCCTATCTTTAGCTCATGTTGCGAGCCTCATTTTAGTGTATTCAGCTTTAATAGGTACCCGTCATTATTTGGGTACAAGTAATGGCATTACCATTAAATTTAAAAATGGAGGCCGGCGTAGCCGGGTCGATAATCTAATGGCTGCTAAAGCGAAAAGGTCTGTGTTCGAATCCTCCGGTTCGATGGTTGGAACAGCAATTCATTTAGGAGAGAAAAATAACAAAGGCACTGAAAGCAAATGTATAAAGAAAAGCATCCTGAGATCGAAGTCAACAGCCTAAATGGCGCATAGCATGTTGACATGTGATACTTAATTGTGTTGGAGGAAATCCCGGCAACATTACAATTAGAAACGAAGAAGAAATTAAAAAAAAAACATTAAGTAATATTGAAAATCTAAAAAAAAAAAAGATTTCTCGATTGAAGAAAGATAATCAAAACAAGTATTAACTCTTGCATTATGGTTGTCTTTCCTGATTTGAGTATAATATCTAACATGATAATAATAATCATTAAAAAAGTTTTAAAAAACCCACGTTTTCTGATTGAACTAAAAAGTAGAAAATAAATGCTATAGGCCCTACATCACAATAATGCAAGCGATCACTCTACTATAAGCGATGAAAAACGTGGGGCGCCGAAGTAAAAGTTATTTTACTATTGATTAGATAATACTATGACTTTTATTAGGGAGCTTGTAGAGAGTCAACAGTATTAGAAACTGTAAGAAAATCACGGCGCCCCACGTTTTTGCTCGCTTATAGTAGAGTGATCGCTTGCATTATTGTGATGTAGGGCCTATAGCATTTATTTTCTACTTTTTAGTTCAATCAGAAAACGTGGGTTTTTTAAAACTTTTTTAATGATTATTATTTTCTACTTTTTAGTCTTTGTCTGTTTGTTTGCATTAAAATCTTGCTATCGATTTTATCTTTTCACTTTTTTTGGGTAAACGAAGACAACTCGTAAAAAGACAACTCGTAAAAAGACAACTCGTAAAAAGACAACTCGTAAAAAGACAACTCGTAAAAAACACGTTGTTTGAATACGTTACTGACTAGTACACATAGATTTGAACCCGTGTCGAGTGGGATAGCAATCGTGTGCCCAACCACTCGACCATATCGTCTCCCCCAAACTGTCCTACCTCCTGTAAGTTTAAACTCGGTTCAAGCTAAATTCTCTGCCCCTAAGCCTGTGGCGACATGTGATCGTTCGCTTCACTGCGCGCGAGGTACGCGTCGCTGGTTTTTTTTCTAATGGCTAGCAGAGGAGAATTATATATATAGATTATATAGCGGTCTAAAATGCTCAATAAAATGTTTCCATTGATCAATTTAGTAATAATAACAATTGAATATTCAATGGTCATCCAAAAGAAAGCTTCCCTGAAAATTTCAGCGCGCTAGCTAACTGGGAAGTGCCAGAAATTTCGATCGCAAGATTGGATTGGAAAGACAAACAAATAAATAAATAAATAAACACACAGAGAAAGCAAGTTAAAGAAAACGTGGGAAAAAGCGTCCAAAACGTGAGACGGAACAATACCTGCAGGGTGTTTCTATTAGCGAACACACTCTGTCATCCCAGTCTTTCTATCCCCGAACACTTTTTACCCAGCCACTTATTCATCTCAGACAATACCTGCAGGGTGTTTCTATTAGCGAACACACTCTGTCATCCCAGTTTTTCTATCCCCGAACACTTTGTACCCAGCCACTTATTCATCTCTCTGTCCCAGCACTGATCACCCAATACCGAATAATCGAAGATCAATACAACAATACATCATCACCACAGACCCCCCGTCACCCCCCCCCTCCCCTCCACTACCCAACATACCTGGATTTTGTTTCGGCTGCTGCCCATCAATACATCATCACCACAGACCCCCGTCATCCCCCCTCAACTACCCAACACACCTGGATTGTGTTTCGGCTGCTGCCCATCAATACATCATCACCAAGACCCCCCCCCCCCGTCAAATCCCCCCCCTCCCCATACAATACACAACACACCTGGATTGTGTTTCGACTGGTTTCCGAAACACAAACCAACACAAGACGTCCACAAACAAACTCCATTCAATACACAAACTGTTTACATTGTCGTGTCACATGACACGGTTCAACCAATCACAGGCCATCCTTCAACAGCGAGACGCCGTGTCGTCGACAGGTTGGGAAACCTGAGGTTTTCAGGTTTTCAAGTTTTCAGCTCCCATTTCACGTCTGTTTTACGCAGGTTTACACATTCAGAATATGGTTCAGTATTTAACGTTTGCTATATGCTAGCTCATACATTTAGAATATGGTTCAGTATTTAACGTTTGCTATAGGCTAGATCATACATTTAGAATATGGTTCAGTATCTATATTTTACTTCTGCTATTCGCGCTGTTACTTCTCATTATCTCGCGGATTAGCTCGTATTCAAACCTCTAGCTATATCAAGTTTCTCGAAATGTGTCACTCCTAAAAAGGGAAAAGCTACGTTTTTTTCTCAGTTAATTTTCTTATAACTTTTATTTTTCAAGAAGTAGTTTTAAAAATATTTCTTTAATCGTGGAGGTAATTAGTTTAAAGGTTCATTTCGTCCACTTCCGGTTAATTTACCCGGATTTTATCGCTTCCTGAGATGAGGTGACCTAATGACCTATCTGTACATAGCGTTAGGTCTGAGAGAGGTCAGACTGTCAGTGTATATGGAGGGTGCTTTTCACAGATTTAAATTGGTTGAAATGGGTCTTTATGTTATTTTTTTTGAAGCGGATACGAAGGTGGGGGGGGGGGATTGGTTGGGGAGGTCTTTATTAGTTGTGTGTCTAAGTGTGCGGGTAAGTGTGTGTGGGGGAGGGGAATTAGGGTCAAGGAGGTCTTTGCTAGCTGAATTTATAATGTGGGGTGATGTCAAGTGTGTGTGTTGGGGGGGGGGGGGGTATTTGGGTCAGGAAGGTCTGTCAGTACAGTTATAAAGGGGGTCTGTGTTTACTACTTCTTCTTTTCTTCTTCTTCGTTCTTAATTATTAGTGTTGAAGGGGATCGAGATTTATCTGCCAGTGGGTTTGAACTCGAGATTTTGTTCGAATTTATCAACCATGCCGACTCGACCATATATATATATATATATATATATATATATATATATATATATATATATATATATATATATATATATATATATATATATATATTCCAATCTCTTACGTTTTGAACGAATAGTTGACAGTCAATTAAATTATCCGATGATTCACAATACATATTTAATTATGAAAGTGACTTTCGAATCCTAATTATTTTTAATTAATAAATTACTTTTTCTGCACTCATATATGGGAATCAACCCTCCCCCCCCCCTCCCCACCCTTTCCCCCCGCGTATGAGTCCTTTAATGAGCTGTAAAATTTTACATCACCATTTAACGTCTCAATATTCATCAAAAGAAAGCCCCCCCCCTCCCTACCCCGAAGCTTCAGACCCTCCCCTAAAGAAACCAGCTATCACTAACACTGTCCCTGACAGACGAATTTCTGACAGAAAAAAAAAATAATAATTTGAAATTTTAAATATTAGCCTCATTTAATTTTTTGATAGGAAGTCATTGACAAGTTATCGATTACAGAGAACATTCCAGCTAATTAGGTTAAACTTAATTAACTCCTTCTTATGAACGTGACATTTCTCATAGATGTTAGAATAGATAAGCTTTTATTTAAGTACCATCGTCACATCCTGTTTCTAAAAATTTATTTTGTAGCAATGCGTCATAGCTATTCGTGATGACACATTAAGACCAAGGGTATTGCGGTTTTTGAACCTATCGCTACCAGTCTTTCTTCAAGACTTTTATCTACGGGGGGGGGGGGGGGGGCACTTGAAATTTTTGGGGGTGGGGGTAGGGCGGGGCGGACTAAACTTTCTATTCGGTGGGGGGGGGGGGGGAGGGGTGCGGTAGACGTTCTTCGGGGGGGGGGGGGGTGGATAAATGCCTGAAAGAAACTCTCACTCAAACTTAATCCACCCCTGGTTCCAATGCTGGCCTTAAAAAACGCCACATATATGATATATTCATTTTGATATTTTTTTAACTTGTCAGTTTTGTCGTCAGAGCTATAAATAAAGTTAATTCGAGCTTAGGTTCATGGATAAAAAACATTTTACAACATACATTACGATTTTAAAACCCATATTTTAGCTATCTTATTGTTAACTACATCGTTTTTCATATTGAAACCCAATTTTAGCAATTATCTTGTTTACAAAACAATTTCCAAAAGCAAAAAAAAAACAAAAAAAAAGCCCATTGCTAATAGCATATTTTCCACATTAAAACCAAATTTCAGCTCTCCCTTCGTTAACAACAGCTTGCTACATTCAGACCCATGTTTAACCATCCCATTGTTAAAGACATAATTTTCCACATTTAAACAAAATTTTAGCTCTCCCATTGTTAACAAATGTTTACAACAGTCGAATCCATGTTTAACCATCCCATTAATTTCCACACAGTAAAACATTGTTTATAACATAATTCCCCACAGTAAAAAAAAATATTTTATCTATATCCCATTGTTAACCACAAATCCTCATATTTAACCATCCCATTGTTAATAAAATAATTTCCCACAGTAAAACCATATTTTAGCTAACCCATTGTTAGCAACAAAACTTACAATTTCCCACATTTAAAACCTATCAATCAGTCTTTTATTTCTTGTTCAAGAACAAAAGAAGAGAAAAAAAATCTACAAAACAATTTAAAATAATTGTTCAACAACAGCGATAATTAAAAACAATTATCTAAATTTAATAATTATTCTTGTTCAGTCGAATGATCATTGTTTATGAGAAACAGTTTTTTTGTGGTTTATTGTTTTATTTCTTAAATTTTCCAACTGGTGAAGTATATATTTTTCTATATAAATTCTATTTCGTTCGGGGGGGGGGGGTTCCAACGGCTATCCCCCTCCCCCCACCTAAGAGATGCCTGTATAAGTCTTAGTATTCATTTACAATTTACAAAACAGCATATTGTGAATGAAGAAATGTTAAACCTACATGCTCAATTGCAATATTTCACCACCAAACGATCTCATAATAAAATGAAAATCTAAAACTAAGACTAAAATATTGTATAGCAATTGTTAGGTTTTTAAAAAAAAATAATTTCCGAGAATTCGAAAAAAATAAGTTATCAAACGAAATGACAATAATGTTTGCGATGTTGTGGGATAACTTCTTTAGCTTCATCAGCAACCTTTCTTGTAGAGGAAACTTTATAATTAAACAACTGCAGTCTTGCAGATTGTTTTTTTTTTTGCGAGAACAAAAGCTATGGAAGCAAACCACGAAACAAAAGCAACCTAAATATTGAGTCATTTATCCACATGGCGTATAAATTGTTGACAAGTAATGGTTAATTTTGTAGGGAGAAACAACGTCCAATATTAAAATAAAGAACGAAGAGAAAGAAACAGATATTCTTTGAAAAAAAAACGAGAAATAAAACAATGTTTTAAACTCTAAGATATAATTAAGACTATGGAAGCAAACTACGAAAGAATAGCCAGCTAAATATTGAGTCATTTATCCATTTAAATTGTTGACAAGTAAGGATTAATAATGTTGGAAGAAAAAGCGCCCAATATTAAAATAAAGAACGAAAACAAAGAAACAGATCTTCGGAAAAAAAAGAGAAATAAAACAATGTCTTAAACTCTAAGGTATAATTAATTAAAATAAAGTACAACATTCAACGCGGTGAATAATAGTAACCAACGCAAAAAAAAATCCCATTTCATTCTCTAACGAAACATGTTTACATGTAGTTACTTCTGCGTCTGTTTTCGCAAAGTGCGTGAGAAATTGCTTACAAAAGTACATTTTGGGTCAGTATCCCTGGGTAAAGTAAAAACTTGTCAGCCTTCAGACAGAAAAACAAAAGAATTGTTTTAATGTACCTTTGTTGTTGATGAGTGAGAGAAATCAAAGGTACACTCGAGATTAAAACAAAAAAAAAACGTTTTCAGGTAAAAATAAAAGTTTTTATGTTTCCAGCGAATTTGAAAGCAATAAATTTGATTGTGGCTCGCCTTAGCTCTAACAGTAGTAATAGCTTTCTGCTTCTTACACAGTTGCGTATTTTGAAACTAAAATTTAAAGAGAAAAAATTTACACAATCGCTAATTCCAACACACACACACACACACACACACACACACACACACACACACACACACACACACACACACACACACACACACACACACACACACACACATATATATATATATATATATATATATATATATATATATATATACAAATGTCTGTGTATGTATATAGATGTTTGCGAGTAAAAAATTAGCACTAGACTCCATTATTTAAGTTAATATTCAAATGGCTCTGGTATGATTTAATAGCGAATATATTTTTATTGATATTTCTATGAAAAATCTATTTTATGAACACAATGCACTATTATTATTTAATTAATTATTGTTATCTTATAAATAGCATATGACATATTCTTTAGATTAGAACGGGCTCTTCAAGGTTTTTGCACATTATTTTTTGTACATTCTGTTTACTCACAATTTAGTGTTGTCCGAAGCACAATAATAGAACATATGAAACAATGCAATGAAATGTAATTCCTTCTAATTTTTAACCAGACTATATCATTAAAAAAAAACAACAGAAATTCTGTTTTGCACTTTAAATCAGCCGTTCCGACAAGGAAGCACCCTGGCTTTGCTGGTTAAATTGCCTTGTTGCTGAAATTGAGACAAGAATTAATAGAATGGCACCTTACAGAGTCGATTAATAGTTTGTTTAAATTAATGGTTTTACTTTCCGACGCCGCCTTAATGAATACTTTTGCCTAGAAGAAATGTTTTCATTTTTTAAAGCGATTCTACAACATTTACAATTAGTACATTCTTCTAAGTGTTTATAAGTGTTTATTGTAAACACCCTCTGTAAAGAAATTATCCAAAATGGTTTCGAATAAACCACAAAGTTATGTACGAAACATGTTTAAAACAACATTTTGTATTTTATATTATTACGAGCCGACCCGCGGCGTATCATACGCCGCTATTTAGTTGTTTTATTTTCTACTTTTTAGTAATTCATAATTTGTGAAATCGACAGTACCAATGCTGCCACTGAATATGTTTGCTTTAAAACACTATCAGTAGCTCGTTAAGGACGATAACCCCCCCCCTCCTTTCCCCAACCCCTACACCACCCCAGACCCCACCCGCGTGAAAGCAGCCTCCTCTTAGTTACCTCCCGTAAGTATAAAATCGTTTCAAACTAAATTATCTGTCCCTAATAGCCGTCACTAAACCAGGCTCTACGATTGTAAACATTTAGCGTGATAGACAGCTCACCAGACCGTGTAAGGGTGGGGGTAGTAGGGAGCGCGCTTACAGCTTGGTGTTTTTTAGGGTATCCAAGAAGAGAATTATATATATATATATATATATATATATATATATATAGATTGTATTTTCTCTTATGAATTGTACTTAAAAATTTATTGTAGAACTATTTGAAAAAAATCTTTTGTTATTAACTATTTAATTTAATTTAATTTAATTTATCCGCAGTGGTGATTCTCCTGATGGACCTGGATGACCAGCTGACCGTCCTAGCTGCCGCCTCTTCACTGTCCATGACAAAAAGCCACGCCTTCTTCACCTTCAGCAAAACCCCGTACAACGTTAAATCCCTGAGTCTGATTGGCTTAGACAGCACGGTGACGTCACAGCCACGGTTCATCAACGACAGCAACGCCGTGAATATCAACATATTCGAAAGCGTCTTCGTCATAGCTGCGTCATTTCCGGTAGATTATACTAAAAATAGCTCAGTTCCGGTGATAGACCGGGCGAAACGGTATGCGGATTTCGCCACACAAGACGACTCAGATCCGTCGTCCGTAGAATTTATACAACACAAAAACCTTAAAAATAGTTTATTTTTTAAAACTGAAGATGACTTATTACATGAAAATCCCGGTGAAAAATCGAGCGAAAGTCTCGATTTTGCGACAATGAAAGTTACATCGAAAGTACACACTCCGCCTGTGTTCGACAGGCCTGTTACGGACGGTTTTGTTTTATCTCCTGTAAATATTTTACCTACGGCTTCCAGACCTCAAACTCTTTTTGTTCACACTCACGTGCCTCTATCTCAGTCCAACTTTTTCTCTCTCGCGCAGGCGCGAGACGCCGGGACTCGGCCGTCTAGTGACGTCACCCCGGCTTCTGTGTTGGTAAAATCGGAAAATAAAAACCCTAATTCCGGGGATGTCCGCTATGATAAACAAAACACTAGAAATCAGGAAGAGCTTGCGAACAGGGGCAATAACCAGCCTCTCTTCTTCGCCAGTGAAATTTCGGGATTATCTGATTCATTTCCAGGGGCGATAATTCACGATCCCGACAAAGAAGAGTTACCGCCCCGCCGGAAAAGAGACTTGGAGTCTTTTAAATTAACAGACGTGGACATTGAAGCGGTGTATGACATGGTGTACCTCGTCGCCTACTCCTCCTACAGGTTCCTCTCCTTCACCGGAAACACCTCCATCCCAACCTCCCACGACCTCATAAGAATTGTCAAAGATCTCAACTTTTCGGGAAGTTCCGGAACCTACCTTTTAGACGCCAGCCAGAAACTGAGTTTCGACTTCGGGGTTTATGATTTCAACTCGACTTCCGGTGTCCTGGAGAACCGCATCTTCTTCGAGGCCACGTCGAGTGTGTCTTGGGAGAGGAAGACACTGCAGGCGATCACCTGGCCTGGCAGGTATATACTGGCAGCTGACGAATGCTACAAGCAGGTTCCGAATTGTAATGAAGGTAAATCCTATTTTATCAAAGTATTTCCCGCAGCGAAGGCTACGCCTCTTCATCTGAATCTAATAGCTAAAATAACATGTGCACAGATACTTTATGAGATCATGAGATTTAGTCGCTGGGTTTTGTTATATTATTATTAAGCAGACATGTCGTTGGTGCCTCCGAAATACCACTTTGATATTTTTATGCTATTTTCCCCCAAAACGACGCTCGCCCCAGTAGCACCGCATTTGCAAACTTGCTTATTGTTTTAAAACAGTGAAAATTATTTAGCGGCTTTTCATGTTTCATCAACTTTTCCCGTTCGTGCCCAAAAAACACATGTGGCAGATGAAGTAGAGCTCATCTGTCCTTGTTTATATACAAGAGATATATATTATAACTTGATGTCGGCATTCCTTACCATAATTTATAATGGCATCTTAGTCCTTGACTATGTAGTACTGGGTGGGTTGTATAGAATGAACATGATAAAAATTATCTTAATTATATTGTTACAAAAAGAAGTCGAGTTCGAGAAGGTTTCATTTACGACGAATTTAGGAAACTTGCGTTGGTGATAATACAATGTAACTAAATAAAACATAACCATTAATACTTAGCTGACAAAATAACCTCTATACATTGTGCTAATTAAGCTAATTAATTCCTCAGGACTCAAGAGCTCGTACATCGCTGCCATCGTCTTGTCGGCCCTTATCGTTATCGTCGGTGCTATTATCGTCAGCGTCATAATCAGGTAACAACAAAATAGTGTGTTATTAGCGAAGAACAATGCTTTCTGTGCTTTTTCAGTAGCTTGGCTATTTTGTCGTTATGACAAAACCAGATCGAGTAAAAACAAGCGACAAAAATCTCACATACAGCCATGGCAGAGAGAATTTTAACATTTCTAAAATTCCTATTAAAAAAATATGTCTAATATAGTTACATCAGCTATATTTGGAAACGCTATAGAAGGTGAATATTACAAAACCATTTCACGGTTACAAACAGGGCCGGGTAAATTAATTACCAATGATCTTTAATTAATTCTAAATTTAAAAAAAATAACAAAATAAATAAATCAACAATTTTTTAAAAAGTTTGACACATTCAATATATGACAGTCAATATTAGTCCCAGTACATTCGCCTAAGGTACTGCGTAATTTCTACTTTGTAAAGCTGTACTTTTCAGTCTTGCCAGTTAGGCATGTTGGAGCTAAAATCATCGAGTACTTTCTCCTTTCATAGCTGTCCTATTCACTATAATGGACGGCTTACTTTAACCACTCGATTACTTTTTCCTGGCTCGTCCAGTCTCCCATCTTTAAAGTACACATTTTATCTACATGCCAATGTTAAGTTAGACACCTATTTTTGGTTGATGTTTGTTTAATGTTTGGTTAAGTTTAATAGAGAAGGGGATAATCACGTGTAATTATCTTGTAAATTAATTTAATTGAGAAGCAAGCCAGCTCTAATTTCTTAATTAATTGGAATCTTTTATTTCGGGAAATGTTCTTTTGAATTTAGTTTTGAACATTATTTGCCAATCTATTTATTTGATTAGTAGGTCTTGATATGTAAGGTTTTGCGTAGTTTACGAAAAAGCTATTGCGCAATAGGATTTTTTTTTTCTTAGACACAGTCTATCAACATTATATTCATAGGTTTATATGTTTTCCTTTATTATGTGTATATGGCGAGTAAAAAAACAAGATACAAAAAAAAAAACACGAAAGAATACAAAATATGGAAGAGCGGGTTGTAACTCATGTACAAGTTTTAAAACATAGTGACGTGGCTGGAAATTTCGACCCCCCCCTCCCCCACTCCTACAACCCCCTGATGCTAACGACCCCTCCATGCACTTTAAGCTATCCCGTTGTTAACAACACAATTTCCCACCCCCATTAAATCACAGAGTCGTTAATTTGCTGTATCTCCCAGCCCGCACCCCCCCCTCCTTCTTCTGTCTGCATCCATCCTTCATTCTCCTACATAGACAATATCTTCTACCTCTACCATTTAGTTAGGGGCGCCAACGTTTACACCCCACTTGGGGTGCCCCCGAAGTGGTTTGTCCACGTGAGTGACGCCCATTTATCTTTCAGAGATTTCCCTTTAAACGGTCAATCTGTTTACAATATTTCGTATGCTCATCATTACGTTGTACTCACACTTTTATTCATAATCTTTATTACCTGAGTTAATCCGCTATTTTCTTCGTTCTCTTATTTAATTCACAAAGTTCCACATAGCTTTGCCAACATGCACCCCATCATCACCACCATCATCATCACCGTTATCATCAATTATTAACATAATTTTTAAGAGTATAAAATCTCCACAACTTATTACATCAAGTTCTTAAATTTATTAAAAAAGAACACAGAAATACCTGAAAGTTTTTTTTAAAAAAAGGAAAAGAAAAAGTAACGTTTAAGTATTTTTAGATTAGTACCCCTTGACATGACATAAAAACTGAAAAAATGACTCGCAAAAAGGCGATAAATTGAAGCTGATTAAATTCTTAAAGATGTATAGAAGTCTATTCCTTTTTAAAAGAAAATGACACTTTAATTACAAAATCAATATAGTCTAATCTGCACTTAAAGCATGTTTTATTTTTACGTTATTAACGAAAACAAAAGACAAAATGCAAGTGAAGCACTTTTTGTATTAACGTGAAGTTGCACGACGTGCTTACTATTAGGTTTCAAATGAAAGAGACCTAATTCAAAGCATTTAGTGCATTTTCAAAATGGTACAGAGGCGTAGCGAGGGGCGGGGGGCATATGTTCCCGGGCGCCGACCTTAGGGGGCGCCAAAATGGGTTGGAGAAACAAATCGAAAGTTTGAGGAGGGGGTTGCAAATCGAATGTTTGTCCCCGCGGGCTGGGAAGGGTCGCTACGCCTGTGAAATGGTAGTCCATTTTCTATAAAGGCAAATGCTGCACGTAAATCACATTAGTATATACAATTATCTTATACAAGCTGCATTTGTTATATCGCATCCTTGCATTTATTCCATAAATTACACCACACTTTTAAACCTGTTGATTTTTCTACAACTTGTTAAAGTCTGTATTTAAGTTCGGTAGTAAAATATATATTGAACATGTTTCACACAATACAAATATAAAATCGCTATTTTAAAAAGCTTAGAGGTTTAATAATTTTAAAATGATGAGGAAAACTAATATAGGTGTTTCATCACTTTACAACATCTGGGAACATGACTCTCCAGTTGTAGGTCAATCGATGTCAAATGACATCGATGTCAGATGTTCTGATGACTCCTCTCCCAATTACCCCAGTCCCCCCCCCCCCCCAAACAAAAAATAAAAAGATAAAAAAAATAAAATAGAAAACAATATGGCCCGCAGCAGCAACGTCTCAGGTTGGTGCCCAACGAGGTCAAACCATACAAACAACACTCCAAAACTTTACCTTAAACAACTGGTTTAACACCACAACAATGTGTTGCTTTTCTTATTCTTTTCTTATTGATTAGCTTTAGTTTTAATTAAACGACCTCATTTTGTGTAAGATCAAGTCACGAAACTGCAAAATGCTAAATTTGGAAGATAACTCCGTTAAATAAAATTAGGTTAAATCCCTTTAGCGGTGAAGCTATATTTTAACTATCCCATATTCCGATTAAAAAAAAAGCTGGTAATATTGCTTCAAAAACTTTAAACTATTTAAAAATATAAAAAAAAAGCTTTTTAGATCGTAAAATACAGTTTAAATCTATTTTTAATCCTTTAAAAGATACATTTATAATAATTAAAACAGATTCATTTCCTTTTTAAAAAAAACTTAAATTTCATTTTAACGAGTTTTTTTTTAAAGCGAGTTTGGAACCGATTAAAGATGGAAATTAAAAAAAAAATGTTAGCGTTGTAACGAGGAGGTTAGCATTGGGTGCAGATAGGATAAGTCGATAGAACGGTGTTAATGGCCAGAGATGGGACTTGCATATTTTGCTCAGTTTATGAGAGATTGGACGTGTTGGTGGTGCTAAAATAGGAGACGTGTGCATTGTTGGTTGTGCTAAAATATCCGAGATTGGATTTTAGGTTGGGCTAAAATCTATGTATATGATTCGCTTCTGGAGCCGTTAGAAAACAAGTTGGAAGCGCGCCTTACAGTCCCCTCTCTTCCTCTCTATCATTACCACCCCCACCCCCACATGGTCAGGTGAGCGGTGGTTCACTCTAAATGTTTACAATCATAGAGCCGGGTTTAGTGACGGCTATTAGGGGCAGATAATTTAGTTTGAAACGATTTTAAACTAAGAGGAGGCTGCTTTCACGGGGGGGGGGGGGGTGTATAGGGTAGGGGTTGGGGGAAAGGGGGGGGGAGGTCGTGTTTTAAAGCAAATATTTTCAGTGGCAGCATTGGTACTGTCGAATTCACAAATTATGAATTGCTAAAAAGTAGAAAATAAAACAACTAAATAGCGGCGTATGTTATGCCGCGGGTCGGCTCGCATGAGTTATTGCACTTTGTTGGTGGTGCTTAAATATGAGAGATTAGTTTGTGCTAAATTTGGAGAGATGTAAGATGTAGGTGGTGCTAAGTATGGACATTTGAGACTAGCAGACACCACTAAAAGTGGATAGATTATATTTGCATGTCGTGCTAAGATGTAATTTATCATCTGTATGTATATTTAAGATTGTAGATGTGTAGCTTCTCTCTCTCTCTCTCTCTCACACACACACACACACTCACACTCACACACACTCTCTCTCTTTCTCACACACACACACAAACACACCGCAGCAAGTGTCTTTTACCAAAAATGATTTCATTTTATATGTTTCTAAAGCGTATATTCTTATATCTGAATACCAGTTAAAATTTTGTATCCTACCCGGAGATAAAACTAACCAGGGGTCAGCCGACGTGCTTAACATATCCCTAGGATATCAACGCCCTCGGAAATATCGAGAAATAATGCATGGAAATCAACGTCTAGACGGAAACCACCAAGTCCAAGACGGCTGGTCAGGTTTTTCCATTCAAGGGCAACAACCGCATAGGCCGACCGAACTTTCACAATAACTTTCCTCATGTATTCGTTTTCGGCTTCACTGCCCTCGTCTAAGCGTCTATTTTTGAGACTTATTGGATCATCTCCCCTGAAGTGTATCTCGGTTACCTCCCCTCGACCCCGGCTTTGATACATCGACTGGCGATCCGCGGACATTAGCACGCCCAGTCGGGTTTAAAGAGGGGTTCGGATGATCGTAGTTTGGGAGAAATGGAATTCGGCTAGGTTTTCACATTTTAGCTTAAGGGAAGAAAGTGATCTTCTTCAGAAATAAAAGCTAATATGAACTTAACATTTAGATTTACTTTCCAAGTCTTCTAACATACAGATGACACTAGTGTTTGCTTGTTGTTTGTGTAAATTAACATAAAAGAGAAACATTTTAAAGTTCTGTTTGGTTTACTAAAGACTGGTTTTTTAAGTGTATTGTAGTTTGATTTCGTCTGTCAATTTTGCTTTTAAAAGTTTGGCTGGCGATGTATGTCTTTGAATTATATTCTAAACAACTTATTTAATAGGGGAGCCCATAGAATGTTTATAATGTGGAAACTAAATTTTTAATATACATTCAAACACTTCTCAAAGACAATTTTTAAATATCCCCTTGTTTAGTTAAACGTGTATTATTTCAAATCTTAAGTAATGCAAATACGAAATCCAACTTTTATAATTACCATCGGTAGAAACCCAAACATGTTCTAAACGTATCATTAAACCAACATATCATTAAGCCAACGTATCATTAAGCCAACGTATCATTAAGCCAACGTATCCTTAAGCCAACGTATCATTAAGCCAACGTATCATTAAGCCAACGTATCATTAAGCCAACGTACCATTAAGCCAACGTATCATTAAGCCAACGTATCATTAAGCCAACGTATCATTAAGCCAACGTATCATTAAGCCAACACATATGAAGTCTAAATGGTCGGAAAACTTTACTGAATTCTAACATTAAACCCGCTTTCTTTCAATTCAGTCTAAACTTAACCAAACCAAGTTAGACCAGACAACACCAAAAAATAAATCATACTAAATCACAATTTTTTAAAATTCCAAACTGAACATATTAAACATGACCAGAAACTAAAATAAACCATAACCTTGACCAAACCGAACCAAACAAACTCCAAACTATTTTTAATAATATTCAAACCATTACAAATCCAGACCAACCGCAACTACACGAAACCAAACCAAATGAATATTTTTTTGAGTGTAGATATCCTAAGCTCTTCACCTAAAACAAAATTAGTTTACAGTTATATTGTTTTCTTCAGCTTTTAGACCATTCTAGATCTTTTAAATACTACTAGCAAATCACTTACATTTTTTCTATCTTCTCAACTTTTCCTACGTAACTGCTCGAACCTGATGACGTCAACTATCAATTTTCTATTTCTAGTAAAGGTTAACTCCCTTATACAAACCACCAACGACGCCTCTCTCGAATTCATTTTGGAAATTTGCGCCAAGCATGAATACGACCGTAGCCACGATCTCGTTTCGTAGGCTCATTATGAGGTCTTGGATATTCTTTGTGGTGACGTTCGGTTCACAGCCTTCAACTCGCTGGCTGGACACTTCCTGTTGCCTAGCAACCAGGGCTAGGATTTTTTTTCCTTCTCTTTTTGACAGTGCTCAGTGAATCACGATCTTAGAATGTCGCTGACGTCTCAATGTCTGGCTCTTCCTGTGGATTCGTTTCGATTTCAGTACATCTGTCTCACCTTCAGTCTATCTGTCTCACCTTTGGTCCATCTGTGTCACCTTTGGTTAATCTGTGTCACATTTAGTCCATCTGTGTCACCTTTCGTCCATATGCGTCACCTTTGGTCCATCTGTGTTACATTTGGTCCATCTGTGTCACTTTTAGTCCTCCTGTCTCGCCTTCAATCTGTTTTAACTTTAGACAGGATGTCTTACCTTTAATCTTATCAATTTTAGACATTATCTGTCTTCGCTCCAGTCCACCTGTATTACCTTTAATCCACCTGTCTCATCTTCAGTTCATCTGTCTCACCATCAGTCCCCATGTTTCACCTTCAGTCCCCATGTTTCACCTTCAGTCCACCTGTTTCACCTTCAATCCACCTGTCTCACCTTTAGTCGAATTGACTCACTTTCTCTGTCTCCAGAGGCGTAGCGACCCTTCCCGGCACAAACTCTCAATTTGCACCCCTCCCCCCAGCTTTTCGATTTGCACCTTTTTCGATTTGCACCCCCCCTCCTTCAACTTTTCGATTTGCACCCCCCCTCTCAAACTGCAGAAATTATCTCACCTTCAGTCTACCTGTCTCACCATTAGTTCACATGTCTCACCATCAGCCCGTTTTGCCTGCAGTCCTTCTGGGAATTTGAAAAGAAATCCCTTTCTTAGAACTAAGTCCAAATTGAGTTACGAGATTTGACCGCAACTCGACAGACAGACAAACAACTGTTGGGACCTAAGTAAATGCTGGTGAAAATACTTTATGTCCCAACGTTCACCCCCCTCCCTCCCAAATCTAATTAGCTAATTGGGCTAGTCGCCGAGACATACTCGTTACATCCTCCCTACCCTCTCTGACGTAGCGAGTCACTTGGGGAGAAAAAAAAACAAGATGGCGTCCAGCAATAAAACCGCGGTCCGGAGACTTCCGGTTTTGCAAAAGCCGACGGCCGTTAAACGGAATGACTTCAGATGACCTTTGTCCTTGACGGTGACTACGCATGCGCGAAAAAAGAAGCCTCATGACGATGAAATGCGACTTGGCGTTAAATAACATTCCCTCTACTTTCTTTCCATTCCTCTCACAAAATGAGCTCGGTTAAATTTTATTTTAATTTTTCTTTCAAGGGAGAGTTTGGTTGTGCTTTGTTTATATTTGGTGTAATATCTTTACAAATCGATAGCAGTTAATCAAAGTGATATTTCACTTAAAATAAAAATATAAAGTGTGATGTTATAAATTATTGAATTTAAAAATAAATAAACATGAAGAACATAATTTTAAAAAGATTTTTATATATTAAACTCTAACTAAATAATTTTTAGAAATAAATTCCACAATAACAATAACTCCAACGTGAAATACGATCACTAAATTAAATTTTATTTTCAACTTGCCACGCATATTTTATTAAACGTAATATTTTTTTAAAAGTCAAAAAAATTTGACATGAAACAAGACGCCAAAAACATTTTCAGCATAAAATAGCAAAAAATATCAGCATGAAATAAAACCACAACTAGTGTTCTGAGACTAAAGCCCATTTTTTTATAGTCCAAGCACGTCGAAAACTTCTCTTCGAGCACACCCTCCTGAGTTATTTCCCATTCCAAGGCCGGGCACGAATGAGTCAACGAAGTTAATTCCCTTTCCGAAGGTCGCGCTTTTATACGCTACTCCTTCTTATCCCAGCGTTACCGATCTTTGATAAGTCTGAGAGCGTATGTTTCTTTTTATAGCCCCTTATCTGGAATAGTGGCTTCAAGGCCGACGGTGTTTTTTTTTTTCTTTCTTGTAGATTATTGCCCTTTAGAAGGTTGTTAGCGAGCCTGAATGTAGCGAGCCGTTGCGTCCAAATTGTATGCGATAAAACTCAAGAAATGACATAAATCAAGGTTCCTGGGGTGACATATTAAAAGGGATCATTCACGCTACATATAATTTTTGCATCACTTACCCACTGCTCAGTTAACTTTTTTGTTGCATCATCTTCCCCCCCCCTTTTCCTCCAAAAAAATCTTAATTTTGTATGTCACCAATAATATAATACAGTGATCTTTAGTACTATGGTCAATAACCATACAACGATATGGCCTTAAAATTCTTTACATCCTGTTCAGTAAAATAACTCTACTTCACCTGCCCGTAGAACATTAGGTTTGAATAGGCAATGTATTTTGAAACAAAAATAAGAACAAGATATGTGTACCAGATTTGAACCTCAAAGAGATGAAGTAGTTCATCTGTTTTCTGTGACCTCGGCCTTTACTTTCCATAATGTGAGTCAGGTACCCATCAGAGCTGGGTGGACTCAGTGATGCCCCACAGTTGCGAAATCGGAATCCGAAAACTCGAGACATTTGGACTAGTAGTTATTCGCTCTACGATCCGACCACGCTCTCCCATTGACCAACACAAAGGTGCCGAGAAAAGCAAACTTTCAGACAACACAGACAAGGACTTGAGATTTCAAGTAATAAATCTCGATATAAAATTGCATTCAACAACAGAATATTGCAGGGTTTTTTTTTCAATTTTTTGAAAAATTTTGAAAATCAATTTCAACAAATATCGTATTTTAAGAATTGAAATTATTAAACTAAATAAATCCAAAATGTAAATTTATTAAAAACAAGTTGGTCTAAGTATACTCTAACTATAAACTTTACATATCCTATTAGCATATTATCTACAACTCATGTAAACTTCTTCGTTCTTAATTTTTAGTGTTGGGAGGGATCGAGCCTTATCTGCCAGAGGGTTTGAACTCGAGACATTTTTTCGAATTTATCAACCATGAGCTTTGCCGACTCGAGCATGCTTCCATCACAATTAAGGATTACGTGTCAACTGGTTATGCGCCATTGAGGCCATTGACTCCGATTTCAGCCTGCAATTCTTTTTGGATTTGCTTCCATAGCCTTTGTTCAACCAAGAACAAACTACAAGGCAGCAGTTGTTTGATTTTGGAGTTGTCTCTCCTAGAAGAGTGGCTGTCCCCAGCTAACGAGCCTCATCTGCCCGAGCTCATGTAAACAAATACGGACATTAAACCAAACACACTGTCTAAAAATTGAACCTTAATCCGGAACACAGATCCTATTTTCTAAAATCTACAATAACCAAACAGTAGATCTATCTATTTAACATAACACATAGATCCAACTATAATCCCTATCCCCTTTAGCTAACAGACGCCATTGTAATTCTTCTTCTTATCATTTGAGTATTAAGGGGAAAGAATTTGAGAGCACTCTCCGCATCATCACATACTGGTCCACATGGATGATCTCCCCTTAGATTGATCTGTTGTCCCGCAGAGCTCAGCCTGCGCGGGTTATCTCCCCTTTGTTTACTTTATGAAATATTTAATCCATTAAGATTTAGTTTTTTTCAACGTGAACACGAATCCATGTTGGGAAATATTGTATTGATCTCTATTTTCTTCTTTCAGGCGGTATTGGGCGAACAAAGAAATGATCAAAGGCCCGAACAAAGTGATTCTTAATGCGGAGGATTTAGTGTTTGTTTTGAGGAAAGACATAGGCAAGGGATCCAGGGTAAGCTAAGCCGTGTGTATTTATCGTCATAGATATGTCTGGAAGAGCATTTTGATAAAGGTAGTGTGTCTGTAAAAACAAATACAAGCAGACAGATACACACATGTACATGTATATATCTATTTTCTATATATATATATATATATATATATATATATATATATATATATATATATATATATAAACATACATATACTATATATAAATATATGTTATGTGTACACAGACAGACACACATACACACATATATATATATATATATATATATATATATATATATATATATATATATATATATATATATATATATATATATATATATATATATATATATATATATACATTGCATACTAACAGGAAAGACTTTCGTATGGGAGGCATACAATAAAAACCTATACAAGTTATTATTTATTGCTCATAATGCCGAAAGACTTTTAAATTCACATTTGTATTCTAAATACTTTGCTTACTTGTAGAAGAAGTTTCTACCCTTGAAATGATTCTGATTTTTTTTCAAATTAAAGTAGAAAATCGAGTAAGTTTGCCAAATTTAATTATAGTCGTTGCAGTCAAAATTTGTTTTTGTTGGAATTTAATTGTCTAGATCAGTTCTCAAGTATAAAACAAAGAGTCTGTGTAAAGCCACATAAATATTAGTCGGTCCGCATTGACGATTCGTGTTTTTTTTTTTTTTTAAATACGTGTTCTATGGACACATACATGTACATACATTTGAAGGGTCAAGGGTGAAGCTCGTATATTGTAGATTGATGTATTCTGTATGTTTACATTTTTACGGACGTTATTAATATGTGGATATCGTAAATAAAATGTACGCAATAAATAATAATAGGCCTCTATGAACGCGATGGAAACGGTGTCAAACATTTTTTTTTCTTTTTTTTTAAATTTTTTTTTTTATTAATTCAATTGTTTTAAACATTTAAATATTTAAATCAGTAATAATAATATATTTGATAGATTTTACACAGCATCAAAGACATGAACAATGAACATCAATTGCATATATAATAATCAAAGGGATAAAATAAAATGGCATAAGAACTAGATTAAAATAAGGTGTGCAAACTAGGTTTCTCTTGACTGCTTAGTTTAGTGTGCTGCGGAGTCAAAAGTTCTCATTGTAGCCACCCATGGACAGAAATAGAAACGACCGGGGGAGAAGTGTCTCTGTAATACACATACTGATCTATCATTCCAAAACTTTCCATGACATAAAATTGACCCTTGGCAATGAGGGCACGCTACCTTGAAATATCCGCCAGTCCGGTTGAGTGGGGGGGGGGGGGGGGGTGTCCTCAACCACGTCCTAGGACTACTTTCGCTCAATTATGTATTATACGAGCCATCTTAATAAATGTAGGCCTATATTTTCTTTTTATTGAGTTTTTCAAATTTATGATTGCAAAATATGTATTTTTTATCAAACTTGCAGGCTATATCTTTTTAATAATAAAACTAATCTTCTTTCTAATTGCGAAATCATTGATTTTAAAACTGTAAAAATACATTATTTGAAAGATTTTTGATATTCTAATACTGCTAATCTATCCCTCTAGTACCATTGCCTCCACAGTTCTTTCCCTTTCTACCGCCATTTATCTTTGATATTATTATACATATGCAAACCAAAGGGAAACAATTCGAGCGAGGCAGACAAAGAGTTATCCTTCCTTCCTTTGCGCCATTTTGTCCAGCTAGGTTGTTGACATTGATCGAGCTAGCAGGACGCAGGAAAACTATACATACATTACATCGTATACATCTATATGTTTAACTTGCAAATGGCTGTATCTAGAAAACTTGGAATTTTTTCTACGTCGAAATAATTGTGAAGAAAAAACTTTGGCTTTTGGCGTATTTATCGAAAGCCACCAATTCACAGACACGCACTCTTATAAATAGTTGTAGTACAGAATATAGGAAAGAATATTTTATCAATATTTAAAAAAAATATTTTAAAGACAAAAATGTTACTGACTTATAAACTGTAATGAGCTTTCACTGTAAACTAATTTCTAGCTTCACTGTTAAAAACGATGGATGTGCTACTAAACATTAGAGATGTGGGGGGGGGGGGGGGGGGTCGGGAGTGTAATAGATAAACAATTTTGTATTTGAACTGACAGTAAACTCTGAAGTTAGCAGGGATGAAGCTATTTGACAGTTTTTAGATATGCTTTGCTGCTTCGAGAAAAAAAATCAATTTGTTGAAAAAAAAAATCATTAGCTATGGAAACTGGATGGTATCTTATAGGCTTATCAAACAAGATTAGGATTAGGTTAAACATTCTAAAAGCCATAAATTAAACTCAGGCATGTAAGAAAATTGCTGCGCTCTACTACTCGGCCACTATAGGACTGTGTAACAAAACAAGTCACAAATAGGGTGGTGTATTGAGCTCGAGTCATCTATATCAGCCACCATAAGTTAAAATATAGTATGGGGTATCGCACTCTAGGCAATCTGTTAGAATCTCTACACTCTACTACTCAGCCACCACAGGACTGTGTAATAAAATAAGTCACAAATAGGGTGAGGTATGGAACTCCAGGTGTCTAAGTTAGAATTCTTGCGCGCTACCACTCAACCACCATAGGACTGTGTAACAAAATACGTCAAAATATGGTATGGGGTATCGTAACATATCACAGATAGGGTATCTGCCATTGAAAAACAAAAGAACCGCTGATATATGCCATCCACTAGACCAGAGAAACAGTCACGGGAACCGAATATTTTCGCTTAAAACCACCGACTCATCAAAAAAATATATTTTGTACTCATTCTGGTACAACCACCTTCACCGGGCAAAAAAAAAAAAAAATCACCTAATCCTCGTAATATTTGATGGTAACCATGGAAACGGCCGAGTCAACGGCTAGCAAACAACGACCACCACGTTCCTCTTTTGTTCCCAGCCACACAGAGCTGTGTCTGATGTCTGCCCAGATAGCAGACGTGGAGCAGACTTGGAAGTGCTTGCATTCATTACTCGTGGATCATGTACCAAAAAGACTCGCTTTCCACGAAATATTATATATTTTTTTCAACTTCGTGGATAGGAGAATTCTGAAACGGGACAGATATTATTATATAGTCCCCGGCACAATAATAGACACAAGTATACACGGGTATGCAAATTAGTGACAAGGGGAAATTACTAGGGAATGAAGGAAAGGAATGACTTAATAATAATCATTAAAAAAGTTTTAAAAAACCCACGTTTTCTGATTGAACTAAAAAGTAGAAAATAAATGCTATAGGCCCTACATCACAATAATGCAAGCGATCACTCTACTATAAGCGATGAAAAACGTGGGGCGCCGAAGTAAAAGTTATATTACTATTGATTAGATAATACTATTGACTTTTATTAGGGAGCTTGTAGAGAGTCAACAGTATTAGAAACTGTAAGAAAATCACGGCGCCCCACGTTTTTGCTCGCTTATAGTAGAGTGATCGCTTGCATTATTGTGATGTAGGGCCTATAGCATTTATTTTCTACTTTTTAGTTCAATCAGAAAACGTGGGTTTTTTAAAACTTTTTTAATGATTATTATTTTCTACTTTTTAGTCTTTGTCTGTTTGTTTGCATTAAAATCTTGCTATCGATTTTATCTTTTCACTTTTTTTGGGTAAACGAAGACAACTCGTAAAAAGACAACTCGTAAAAAGACAACTCGTAAAAAGACAACTCGTAAAAAGACAACTCGTAAAAAACACGTTGTTTGAATACGTTACTGACTAGAACACATAGATTTGAACCCGTGTCGAGTGGGATAGCAATCGTGTGCCCAACCACTCGACCATATCGTCTCCCCCAAACTGGCCTACCTCCTGTAAGTTTAAACTCGGTTCAAGCTAAATTCTCTGCCCCTAAGCCTGTGGCGACATGTGATCGTTCGCTTCACTGCGCGCGAGGTACGCGTCGCTGGTTTTTTTTCTAATGGCTAGCAGAGGAGAATTATATATATAGATTATATAGCGGTCTAAAATGCTCAATAAAATGTTTCCATTGATCAATTTAGTAATAATAACAATTGAATATTCAATGGTCATCCAAAAGAAAGCTTCCCTGAAAATTTCAGCGCGCTAGCTAACTGGGAAGTGCCAGAAATTTCGATCGCAAGATTTGATTGGAAAGACAAACAAATAAATAAACACACAGAGAAAGCAAGTTAAAGAAAACGTGGGAAAATATGTGGTTTACGATCTAATATGGGAAGTAACTTGTGAATAAAATACAGATGTTTTTGTGCAATGCAGACAGTAAATATTGTTATTGGTGTTGTGGTATAGGCTATATATTATCTAAGTAAATCCTAAACACGAAATGTTTTTGAATAAAATACAAATAAACAGCCAATGAGTTTAAACATATTTTTGCAAGTTCCATACAATAATAATTATACCTGTTTTAAAAGTAAATCTATTTTAGTTATTTATTAAAACACATATATTTGTAAAGCTAAAAAACATATTATCGGATTTCTTACTTTTAACCACTATAGAAAATACCATCATGTATTAATATACCAAAAAAAAACAACTACTTTTATGTCTCGCATTAGTCTAGAAGGCAAGATAGGTAAAATATATCAGACTAAATAACGCAACGCCCGCTCTCGCAACTGATCTTACAAAACACAAGCACACACAATTACTTTTTCACCCGTTACAATTTTAAAAAAAACGTAATTAAAAACCCTAACTTGGGTTCCAATTAAGAATTCTTAATTAAGCATTTCTCATGAGAATCCGCCGGCCCATTCCCACACCGATTGTCAATAGCCTGTTGATGTCCGACTCGAATCGTCCTGAATACAACTTGTTAATTTTACATTCAGCGTCCTTCAATCCTCCCTTAACCCTTTGTCGTCCTTTTTGAAAATTGAAATGAAATTAACCCTTTTCAGCGTCCGCTAAACAAGGGAGACGACTTACATCTTCTCATTTATATTGGATGAGCCGCGTC